GCTGAGAGCATGTAGCCTGTTTGGATCCTTTGTCTCCCTCTTTCTCTACCCCTTCCCCCTTCTTTCTCCTCAAAAAATAAACATTTAAAAATATGTGTGTGTGCATGTTAATTGACTAGGTGATCAGTAAGTCTTCTTCTGATCAATAGTTGGCTATTAGCAGTTAAGTTTTTGAGAAGTCAAGTTACATACCGATTTTCAACTGCATTGGGGGTAGACTCCCCTAACCCCCACATTTTTCAAGGGCCAACTATATTTTCAATATGGGAGAGGTCAAAAGCATCAAATGCAACAGAAAGACAAAATAAGAACTGAAAAGCGTCTAATGAATTTGGCCTTATGAAATTATTGGTAACTTGCACAAGAAATTATTTTGATGGAATGGTGGGAACAGACTACAGATGAAACAGTTGGGAAACGATTGAAGGTGAGGAAGGTGAGATGTTGAATGTAGAAAGGAGGATTTTGGCCATGAAAAGGGGAAAGAAGAATAAGGGGGTAACTAGAACAGGAAAGGAACCATGGGAGTTTGTTGTTGTTTTCAAAATGGAAGACATTTGAGTTTATTAGTATGCGAAGATTGACCCAAAGGAAAGAAAGACATAGAAAGAAAGACAAAAAGACAATTGATAAAAGCAGAGAGGATGACAGGGGGTTCAGCTGGAAGGATTATCCTCAGAAGTACATGGATTTCTCACAGAAAAGACGGGTATCGATAAAAATCTTTTATTCAGGTGAGTGGAGCAAGAAGTTGATTGAATTCATGTTTCTTGGGTTTTATCCATGTGGTCTGCAGACCACGTTGATCAGAATCACCTGAGGTATCTATTTTATGAAGAATCTCAGCTGCCATCACCCAGAGAATAAGATTTAGGAAGTCTGGGTTGGCACCCAGGAATCTGATCTTTATTTTTTTTTTTTCAACGTTTTTTTATTTATTCTTGGGACAGAGAGAGACAGAGCATGAACGGGGGACGGGCAGAGAGAGAGGGAGACACAGAATCGGAAACAGGCTCCAGGCTCTGAGCCATCAGCCCAGAGCCCGACGCGGGGCTCGAACTCACGGACCGCGAGATCGTGACCTGGCTGAAGTCGGACGCTTAACCGACTGCGCCACCCAGGCGCCCCAGAATCTGATCTTTAAACTAGCACAAGTACCACCCCCAAGTAATGCTGATCCATCATAATGGTTGAGAACCACTCCTTTTTTTCTCTGTGAAATATCAAGGACAATACAGTGTTTCCCCACCCCCTATAGAAAGTCATCCCTCTACCTGCCACCCAGCAGCCAAGGCATGGACATGTGACCTAGATTTACACCTTTGGATGCTCCCATTTGTGACTTTGTTTCTTAAGGGAGTGAAGCAGAAACAATTCAGAACTTACCACACAAAGCATAGTATGGGACTGGTAGCATCACCTGAGAGCTTCTTAGGAATGCAAACTCTCAGGCCCCATCCAAACCTACTAAATCTGCACTTTAACAAGATATCCAGATGGCTCCGAGCCACATTGAAGTTTGAAAAGCACTGGCTTAGAACATATCTGTAGTGGTAGAGTCAAGAGTTCTGCAGCAGC